CGAAATTTCTGTAAAATCAAAATGGGGTGTTACAGTCTCTTCAAAAAAGAACTGCAGGGATCCATTGTATCTCCGGGTTGAAAGCTCCTTCACCAGCGGCTGCCGACTGGGATTTTAAACTCCATCTCTCACTTTCAACAAAGTTCTCGTCGAGACTCAACTCGTCCATGTCGATTTCTTCATCTTGAACAAAATCAGAATCTTGTTAAGTGTCTCTTTTTGCAGAAAGAAAAGAAAATAAAAAAAGACGCCGAAGGAGAGGAAAAGGCGGTTGACAGATGTCCATGAAAACAGAGAGGATGTGAAAAAGAAAATAGTCAGATGAGGACGATTAATGAAGGAGAGAGAAAAATATAAATTTGTTTTAAACTCTTATGCAAATCCCACTAAATCCGCCACTATCCAAATAAAACGTAATTCATCCTTAATTAAAAAATTTAAAACAAAAAAATTGATGTTCGTAGGAGTTCAAATAAAATAGTCAGGTTAGGTACTTTTGCCAAATAGTATATATGGGTAGTATATATGCAATAAAAATTGTTGGGGGTCGTTCAGGAGGTAATTTTCTCATTTATATAAATATAATGAGCCCGGTCCACTATAAGCTAACATAGCATTACTAATTATGATAAAAATATATAGTATATACAATTATATAGTATAGATATAAAATAAATAAAAGATAATATTAATAAAATATATATACAATTATATATTATACATATAAAATAAATAAATATTAATGATAAAAATATATACAATTATATATTTATACATATAAAATAAATAAAAAATAATATTAATAAAAAACGGCTCGACCGGTTCGACCACTGGTCCGACCAGTGAACCACTGAACCGATAGCTTCACCGGTTCGATGACCGGTCTGGTTTTCAGAACATTGGTTAAATATCAAACTAATAATGTTGTATATAAGAAAAAATTTAATAATATATAAATTTTTCATTACGATAATTTTATGATTTGACAAAATCTTTAATATTTAACTCTTTTATAATATTTTCCAAAATAAATAGTCCGTGCATCGCACGAGTTACATACTAGTAATTTTAATTAACCATCACTTCAAATCATCTTTTTTTCCTACTTTTACATCAAATCAACCTTAATTATTTTATTTTAAATATTATTTTAATATACCCACTAACTACTAATCATACCATATTTTTCAAATTAACCAAATCACACCAAAAAAAAATCCTATTAAATTTTT